GTTTCCCCGTTTTCCCCGTTTTCTCCCCGTTTCCCAGCGAGCTGGATTACTACGACGCGCCGAGCGTCAACGCGCGGTGCCAGAAGATCTGTGACCAGTGGGACCTGCTGGGCTCCCTGACCCACAGCCGCCGCCAGGCGCTCGAGGTCCGCGGGGGCCGGGGCGGGGGGCCGGGACCCGGATCCCAAAACTGGATCCCAAAACTGGATCCCAAAACTGGATCCCAATCCTGGATCCCAAAACTGGATCCCAATCCTGGATCCCAATACTGGATCCCAATCCTGGATCCCAAAACTGGATCCCGGCCCTGGATCCCAATCCTGGATCCCAAAACTGGATCCCAATCCTGGATCCCAAAACTGGATCACAATCCTGGATCCCAACCCCGGATCCCAACCCGGATCCCAACCCGGATCCCAAAACTGGATCCCAAAACTGGATCCCAAACCAGGATCCCAACCCGGATCCCAAAACTGGATCCCAAAACTGGATCCCAAACACGGATCCCAAACACGGATCCCAAAACTGGATCCCAAAACTGGATCCCAATACTGGATCCCAATACTGGATCCTGGCCCTGGATCCCAAACCAGGATCCCAAACACGGATCCCAAAACTGGATCCCAAAACTGGATCCTGGCCCTGGATCCCAACCCGGATCCCAAAACTGGATCCCACAACTGGATCCCAAACACGGATCCCAAACACGGATCCCAATCCTGGATCCCAAAACTGGATCCTGGCCCTGGATCCCAAACCAGGATCCCAAACACGGATCCCAAACACAGATCCTAAACACGGATCCCAAAACTGGATCCCAATCCCGGATCCCAAACCCGGATCCCAAACCCGGATCCCAAAACTGGATCCAAAAACTGGATCCAAAAACTGGATCACAACCCAGATCCCAACCCGGATCCCAACCTGGATCCCAAACCAGGATCCCAACCCGGATCCCAACCCGGATCCCAACCTGGATCCCAACCCAGATCCCAAAACTGGATCCCAATCCTGGATCCTGGCCCTGGATCCCAATCCTGGATCCCAATCCTGGATCTCAACTCCAGATCCCAACCCTGGATCCCACCCCCCAGATCCCAGTCCCAGATCCCAACCCCAGGATCCCAGCCTCCAATCCCAACCCTGGATCGCACCCCCCGGATCCCAACCCCAAGATCCCAACCCCGGGATCCCAACCCCAAGATCCCAACCCTGGATCCCAACCTCCAATCCCAACCCCGGGATCCCAACCCTGGATCCCAACCCTGGATCCCAACCCCGGGATCCCAACCCTGGATCCCAACCCCGGGATCCCAACCCCAAGATCCCAACCCTGGATCCCAACCTCGGGATCCCAACCCCGGGATCCCAACCCTGGATCCCAACCCCGGGATCCCAACCCCAAGATCCCAACCTCCAATCCCAACCCTGGATCCCAACCCCAGGATCCCAATCCTGGATCGCACCCCCCGGATCCCAGTCCCAGATCCCAACCCCGGGATCCCAAC